GAAGGCAAAAGGGGGTCCAACCTGTTACTAGCATGGGGTACCTAATAAAGTGGCCGGTGAGTGTATACTTCTACTTTTTGACACCACTGCACTTGAAACAACTGGATGAACTGAGCCATCTGATCACCAACCATAAGCAGGACTCCACTAACTTTTTTGTTTTATTCACCTTTCAATAATCTAGTTAAAGAGGATTTCTGGCCTCTGGATTGATTTGGTTTGTTGCCAATTCTGACTTTCTGTGCTCCTATTGGTTATTTCTGTTTTTTCTGTAAAAAAAAAAGTAACTATGTGTGTTCTTAACCGGTGTTTCTACAATATTATCATTATTAAAACACTACATTAAAAACACCATCTGTAGAACCCAGACCAGTTATCTGATGTGTGGGGTTTTTTAAATTTTATTTTTTTTATTGCAAACAAAGAACATATGCATAAAACAGAACATTAATGATTATATACAGATACATTATCAACGTGCTTTACAGAATATAGAACAATTATTTTACATTGTCAAAATCAAATCTGTGCTCAGGGGTTGCATTTCTTTAAGGGCAGTTATAATTTGAATGGCTTTAACATTTGAGCTAAATTTTAAGGATTCTACATAGATATTAATAGAAGATAATAAATAGGTGTGAATATATTTACCATAGATAATGAAAAAAATAACAGATAAAAATTCTGTTTTGACAAGTTCGCATTTCCCTGTACCCCCCAAAAAACATACTTATCCGTTAAGGTAATATTGATATTTCTTTTATGAAAAAAATTGAAATATCTCTCCAAAATATTTTGGTATAGTTACAATCCCAAAAAAGATGAATAATATTTTCTTCGTTATTTTTACAAAAAGTACACATTGGGTCCAAATCCCATTTACATCTCTTTATCAAAAATACTTTAACAGGATAAATATTTTTGAAAAACTTAAGAAGAAATTGCTATATTTTTTAAGGAAAAACCAAGTCCACCTTTAATTTATATTTTTAAAAATGCTAGACTAGTAAAATATAAAAGCTGGTGAAAAAACATCTCGTAATAAAATATTTCTTAAACTTTTATTGGTTGTTTTCTTACTGATAAAAGGACAATCATAATCCAAAGCTGATGTTGGGTTTCCTTCGTTTTGGCAGCGGTCAGTGACATCACTGAAAACATCGCTCTGATTGGTCCGTCTCTAAACCCCTCCTGGTAGTAGACATAGATATCCATATGGTAGTAGACGCATCATTTTCTCCTCGTCCCACCCGCTGAGTCCTCTTACGGCAGACTGTAAAGGAGTACACCCTCTACAGGTTTGTACCGAGAGGGTCACTGAGGTTCCGATACAAGAAACTGTAGTTCAGAATGAAGACTTAAACGCTGTTATACAAGGACCGTGGAACTACAGCTAGCACAGTTTACGGCAGGTCGTGAAGCAGCGTAAACACGTGCAGGTAAGAAATGTTGATTTGACTGGTTTTACTGTTTAACTTAAGTTTAAAGATCCTTGTTTGGGAACATGTGTCGATAACGATGACCCTGAATTTAGATGTGATTAGTGTTTTTGTCTCTGGATGCCGCTGTGACCAGAATCAATAGGAAACCGGTGTTACACTGTATTCTGTCCCTCATCATGCAAAGGAGGCGACTTTTGATTTATTTGCCCTAACCTTACAGGGCTGTTACCTGAAACTATAGAAACCAAATGCTGTAAGACCCAAACACCAGGTAGTCACATTTTCAAAACCAGAAAACTATGTAATGGATTCACAACCTGAAAGATTTGGATAAAAAGCTTCAGCTTGGTGAAAATCTCAGTTGTATTTATTAAAGATTAAGACAGGCATGGATCTGGAAAACAGAATCATGAACCAGACCTGGATCTAGCTGATGTTCTGACCTTTAATGCAGAACCTGCAGCCCTGAAATCATATCATGGTTTAATAGAAAAATGCTAGCTCATTATCTGTGGACCAGAACCAGTTACCGGGAATTTAAATCGATACAATAGCAGGTTAATTCATTATCGCCGATACTGATATCTTATCGATATCAGTATCGGCGATAATGATACTGATACTTTTTAACATTTAAGCTCAATGTATCATGGAACTGTTGATCTTTCAGTGTTTCTGTGATTTTTATTTTATTATTAATATTGAATAATAATAATAGTATTAGTAATGCAATGTTGATAGTGTTTTTTTTTTCCTAATCCACCTCATATTATCTTTCAATCATTATGTAATTTTGTTTGTATTATGTGCACTTGCCTGTTGCTTTAATTCTATAAATGTCCCCGTCGTGGGATAAATAAAGGATTAGCTAATGTTAGCCCAATTAGAGGACATATTTTAATGGGATAAATGTACTGGAATCTTAATTACACTTTCTGATTGGGCTCCAGTAATATATGACATATAGTATCTACTTTAAAAGTGAATATGAAGGGGATCACTCTCATCTACCTGAATATTCTCTGGAGGTCTGAGACGCCTCTGTCTGTGACGTCCGTCTGTCAGGGCAAGGAACAATGTTTCGTCTCCTCTCTCCATTTCTGTAGCTCAACGTTTTCTTGCTTATGGTTTTTTATGTGCTTATATAAAGCTGTTGTGTTTCCACTGCATTTAACCAGCTTTGTAGCCCGTGTGCGGTTGTTATGAAGGGGGAGCAGCAAAGTGCTGTGACACAGACGGGGAGACTGGTGAATCTGCTGCAGTTAATGCGTGCGGGAGAGAATAAAAAGTATTGATCTTGTTAAACGAGTATTGTTCAATATCAATGCCAGCGTTGCTATCGATAGTATCGGTCCTAGGATTGATCTGCTCACCTTTAGAAAACAGCACTCAGAAAACCAGAGATGGACAGATACTGTTGGCTTCTTTTAAACAGGTTTTGGAACATCATAATTTACTGCAATCTTTTATTTATTTTATCTATTTAACAAATTCAAATCATGATTCAATGTGTCTTTCATATGGCTGATAGTTTACAATAGAGATTTTAATGTGATTCATGTCT